ATCCAATATCAACCTTCTTGACATTGCAGTCTGTAAGCTACGTAATCGTAGGAAAACCTTACACGAGTCGGACGAGACAAGTTGCTGTCTCAGCAGCTCACGTTTATTCGGGAGCTTGCGAGACAAATCAGATTATTGTGCATACGATGAATGGAGAACACGACCTGTCTGTCCTTTACGCTATACACATATTGATAAAACAATGATAGATCATCGGGGATACAAATCACCAGTAGTTTTATACAGCTTAACACAAACTAGTCAATACAAATCACCAGTGGGACCTGTCTATATATATAATTGTTTGTTGTATTTCTGTAGAATTGTTTGGGGCCAGTCTGTAGAATTATTTAAAGCTAGTCTGTAGAATTGTTTGGGGCCTGTCTGGAGAATCATTTGTTGCATTTCTGTAGGACGTTTTGAGGCCTGTCTTTAAATTTGTTTAAGGCTGTCTGTTGAACAATTTGGGGCCTGTATTTCGAATTGTTTGGCACCTGTCTGTCGAATTGTTTGGTGCCTGTCTGTAGAATTGTTTGGGGCCTTTCTGTAGAATTGTTTGGGGCCCTGTCTGTAGAATTGTTTAGGGCCTGTCCATAGAATTGTTTGGGGCCTGTCTGTAGAATTGTTTGGGGCCAGTTTGTAGAACTGTTTAGGCCCTGTCTGTAGAATTGTTTGGGGCCTATCTGTAGAATTATTTGAGGCCAGTCTGTATAATTGTTTAGGGCCTGTCTGTAGAATTGTTTATGGCCTGTCTGTTGAATTGTTAAGGGCCTTTCTGTAGAATTGTTTGGGGCCTGTCTGTAGAATTGTTTGGGGCCAGTTTGTAGAACTGTTTAGGACCTGTCTGTAGAATTGTTTGGGGCCTATCTGTAGAATTATTTGAGGCCAGTCTGTATAATTGTTTAGGGCCTGTCTGTAGAATTGTTTGGGGCCTGTCTGTAGAATTGTTTGGGGCCTGTCTGTAGAATTGTTTGGGGCCTGTCTGTAGAATTGTTTGGGGCCTGTCTGTAGAATTGTTTGGGGCCTGTCTGTAGAATTGTTTGGGGCCTGTCTGTAGAATTGTTTGGGGCCTGTCTGTAGAATTGTTTGGGGCCTGTCTGTAGAATTGTTTGGGGCCTGTCTGTAGAATTGTTTGGGGCCTGTCTGTAGAATTGTTTGGGGCCTGTCTGTAGAATTGTTTGGGGCCTGTCTGTAGAATTGTTTGGGGCCTGTCTGTAGAATTGTTTGGGGCCTGTCTGTAGAATTGTTTGGGGCCTGTCTGTAGAATTGTTTGGGGCCTGTCTGTAGAATTGTTTGGGGCCTGTCTGTAGAATTGTTTGGGGCCTGTCTGTAGAATTGTTTGGGGCCTGTCTGTAGAATTGTTTGGGGCCTGTCTGTAGAATTGTTTGGGGCCTGTCTGTAGAATTGTTTGGGGCCTGTCTGTAGAATTGTTTGGGGCCTGTCTGTAGAATTGTTTGGGGCCTGTCTGTAGAATTGTTTGGGGCCTGTCTGTAGAATTGGTTGGGGCCTGTCTGTAGAATTGGTTGGGGCCTGTCTGTAGAATTGTTTGGGGGCTGTCTGTAGAATTGTTTGAGGCCTGTCTGTAGAATTGTTTGGGGGCTGTCTGTAGAATTGGTTGGGGCCTGTCTGTAGAATTGGTTGGGGCCTGTCTGTAGAATTGTTTAGGGCCTGTCTATAGAATTGTTTGGGGCCTGTCTGTAGAATTGTTTGGAGCCTGTCTGTAGAATTGTTTGGAGCCTGTCTGTAGAATTGTTTGAGGCCTGTCTGTAGAATTGTTTGAGGCCTGTCTGTAGAATTGTTTAGGGCCTGTCTGTAGAATTGTTTGGGGCCTGTCTGGAGAATGTTGTTTGGCCTGGTCATAATATATGCTGGTAATTGTTAATGATACTGGCAATAAGTCATGGATAATGAAATCAAATTGAAGAATTTAAGAGAATTTGTGACTTGATTTGTCTGGATGTCTTCAAAAGCAGGCCATACAAATTTCATTACCATATTTATGTTCCCTAGGCCCACATCGTCATACAAAGAAGAAATGCAATAATGTTTTTCTTTCCAATAAATGTACACATTGAAGATTTTATTTTGTAGTACTCAGAGGATGACATCTTTATTTGTTTTCTGACTACTGCATGGGGCTCAATCACATTCTGAGTACACAATTAAGATCATAGGTGAAAAGTCAAAAGCTGTTTTCTACAGATTTTTCTTTTTTACATTATTGGCTTGGTGCTATAGTACTGGTATGTATCACATTAAGATGTCTGCAAAGGTCATTGTCAGGGGATGTTTACAAAGGTCATTGTCAGGGGATGTCTGCAAAGGTCAGCTTCAGGGGATGTCTGAAAAGGTCAATGCCAGGGGATGTTTACAAAGGTCATTGTCAGGAGATGTCTGCAAAGGTCAATGTCAGGGGATTTTAGGCCAACAGGTCAGGGGATGTCTGAAAAGGTCAATGTCAGGAGATGTCTGCAAAGGTCAATGTCAGGGGATGTTTGCAAAGGTCATTGTCAGGGGATGTCTGCAAAGGTCATTGTCAGGGGATGTTTGAGAGTTCATTGTCAGGAGATGTCTGCAAAGGTCAATGTCAGGGATATATGCAATGTTATGCGAGGTCATAAGGTTAGGAGTCAAGGTCTCCCATGTTTTAAATAGATTTCATGCTTCAATCATTGTGCTATATTAAGCCATTTGATTTTTGATTATTCTGATGATGAAGATGATTCGATGTCTTTTGATAATCTGTTGTACACACCCAAGTTTTGTTAATGCTAGATTTCTATGACATTCACACACCAGCTTTAGAGAACACAAAAACATTTATTTTTGCTTTTTTGGAATCCACATTTGCCTAAAACCAGCAGGACTATGATGAAAATTAACATGTTACGGAGACAAAGCTCAGAAATAAAAGGTCAATACATGCTTGTTTGAGACCCACACGCAGTGCCAACCCACAAACTAGAAGTTTATCTGGGAATTCAATGCTGGTCGGAATTAATACAAATGAAGCGTTAGCCCCCGCTTGACATTTTCTCTCCGTTCCTCAGTCAGAACACTCACAACAAAACACATTAGGGGTTTTATCTTGGTATGTTTCAATGCAAATGTGATTTATAAGTGTCTCGACTCATTAAGTACTGGTTAGCTTGGACTGATTCGCCTATCTTTTGGCGGAGATATTTTAAGCTAATTTGTCTGAGTTCCGCCAGACTAATTCTTCAGAAATTTCGTATAGATAATCCTCTTCTGTTCCCAAATGTTAAAAGTTGCTATTTTAATTTTCTTTTTGGTTAATTAGAAATCCTCAAAGGCTATCCTGTCTTCAAATTAGGCTTTTACCATTTTTCCCTTATTCTGACGTTCCATAGGTGAATTCTAACTGATATTGGTGCCAATATTCCCATCAATGACTGATCAAGTGTTGTTACTATAATTGCTAAATTCAGTAAGAAATCCAAGATTACAAGGATGGTCTCGCATCATCAGAATTTACATTTTTCAACTTCTTTTCTAGTTCAGATAACAAATATTGATAAAAAAAAGGGAGCGATACAGGTCCC